GAGTGCCGGGCATCCCTGTACAGGCAGAATGTTCTTAGGAATCAGAGGGTCTTGGAGTAGAGGACACCAGGCAGGAGGGGCAGTGTCCAGGGAGTCAAGATGTTTGGGCAGTTGGGGGAACATGGCGGCATCTGTGACTGGCAGGGAATGGTTTCCTCGAATGGCCAGGGTTTCCTGAGGATCAGAATAATCACCCTAAGGCTTCAGGAGGTCCTGTGGGGTCAGCGCTGTTCTGGGCTGTCTGTGCTGGGGGCAGGGGGGGTGGCAGTGCTCAGGGGCCTGCTGAGAAGTCCAGGGCTGAGAGCGTCAGAGAGCACTAACGGGTCCAGTGCCCTGGGATCAGAAGTCCTGGTGAGGGCACATCGGACAGCCAGGGTGGCCTGGGAGAGCAAGATGTATCTTTCCCTGATCTAACTGTGCTGTGGGTCAGCTGTGTGAGCAGCACGCCTCCTGGGCGGGCTTCTGGGCTTGAGCGGCTTTCAGTGTCAGCACGCCCTGTGTGAGATTAGCACCAGCCGTGGGTTCTGAATGGGCTGAAGGGCAGGATGCTCTGGAGCATCTGGATTCTTGTCGGGGAGTTCCTTACAGGGTCAGAGCTCCCCAAATCTCTGCGGGTCTGCACGTCCTGGTATCCTGAACCCCCAGGGCTGTGGCGTCACTGGGGGTTCAGGATACCATGCTTATCATAAGGTAATGAACTGGAAATCTGTTGAAGGGCCACGAGCCCTCAGGAGTGGATGCGTCCTCTGTGCCCTCGGGGGTCAGAAGGACTCCGAGGGCTGCAGCCCCCTCGGAACCCTGGTAACAGTAATAATGACGGTAAAGTGACATTTCACCCGTGCTTACTACTTCAGGGTATAATGCTCCCAAATGCTCTCTTTAATTCTCAGTCATTACTTCATCAGGTCGATATGGCGACCTTCGTTATGTGTGGATGCCGTATTTGCAAATTCACCTACTCACTGAAATGTATTTGTCGCCCCCAAGTCAGTAGTTGTTTGTGATGCTCTTCGGCACATCTGTGGTTATTTGGAGCTGTGTGCATGCCCCAGAAGGTGACACATTTGAGTTGCCGCATTCCTACGTGAGGCCGAACGAGGTAGCTCCTCTGCCTTCTTGTTTCAGCTCTCACACTGTATACAGGTGTCTTATTGCTTTCTATTTAGTGCCATTGTTTTGCTTTGGGGGTGATTTTGTTACAGAACAGAACAAGGGGGGTCTGGAACAATATACTATTATTGAAAGAAGGCCCCGGGTCCGTTATGTCCGCCGCCAGAGGAAAGACATCTCTCAATGCCAGAGATTCGTGAAAAGGAAAGGAAATGTTTATTTAATGCTATACAAACTTAAAGTAGTGACCTAATGTCTTTATCAAAAATCCCAAAGTCCCTTAAAACACCCACAAACACACACAGTCCTTCCTTCCTTCCCCCTTTGCCCAGTCCAGAGTACCGTATTTCAGGGAAGGAAAACGAAGTCCATGGCTCAGACAGTCCTCTGGTTCTTAGTCCTCCTTCTCGACTGGGAGACCTCCCTGGGTTCCCGGCACCCTCGACTGAGTCGCCAGGACCTTTGCTAAAACCAGGTGGTGGTTCCCCCTTCTAAAGCTGCGGGGGTCCCCACTCCGTCCAGGCCTCGTGGTTCTCTCTCTCAGGGCTGCGGGAAGGGGACAGCCCCAACTCTGCCAAAGCCGCGTGGTTCTCTCTCCTAATGGCCGCCAAGTCTGGGTTTTAAATCCCCGTGGCCAATCTTCCTCTGCAGCCTCATTTCCGACTCCTCCCACACTCGGCGTCACATGCCAGAACTCGTATCCTTCCAGCTTTACTGGGCTGCCATCTTGAGTCTGGGCAGGTGTGGCCCCATGTCCTGGAGCCAATCTTCTCCGAGCTCCCACGCAGGCGCTGTAGCTTGGGGGATCTGCCCCCAGTCACGTGTTGGTGGGGAAGTTACTTCCATTCCCCCCTGCTTAGAGATGATCACAGCTATTTAACATATCTAAGCGACCAGCCAAAGGCTATAGATATGTTAAATGACCACGCCAGAGCTTAGCTGCAAAACAGCTCTCAATGGTCCTGCTCCATTTGTCCCTTCCCCCAACCCACACCCTGGGGGGGTGGGGGGGGTTTGGAGACATCTTAAAATCTCCTGGACACCTTAAGTTCTGGGCCCCATTTCAAATGCCCATTTGGGTCCCCCCTCTTGGCTGCACCCTGTAACAATTTTGCTGCTTAAAATGCTTAAAAGCTGAACTGAAGTGCCATCTGGTGTTCCTACGTACAGCAAGGCCATGATGAACCTTGTGGGGGAAATACAAGAGCTGGTGGTGAGCTTTGTTCAGGCGTGAATTATGAAGCTGAGGTCTGTGAGCTCAGTGTTGACGAATTAACAATGTGTATTAAGTAAGGTATCTTTAGATGGAAACACACGTGCACCAAGGTTATGTATTGGCCAGTTGATGAAAATATTGTGTCCAGAGGCTCGCAGGAACCTGTTTCCCCTGGGGGCAATGGGTCCACATATTCGCCATTTCAGCCTTTATAGTGACTTTATGCAGCTTGGCCTCCAGTAGAGAGTCCACTGGGCTAGGCATCCCCACTGGCAAAGCCACAGCGCCGACGTATCAAGTGAGGTAATCAGGACCACACGGCCAGTGAGATGGACTGAGGCCGTGGCCCTCTGGCCCTAGAACCTATGCTCTCCCCACCACACCACTCTGCTTCTTACAGGACAGGAGGTTCCTGGGTCAGGCTCCATGTGGGGGTGGGAGTTAGGATGCCCTGGAGGAACAGATGCCTGTAAACCCCCCAGCCACCTGAGGGATTGTGATATTGTGGGATGTCAAGTCAAAGTTATGGTATCTCGGTGTCCTCAGGGAGCAAGGGCAATGTCCTTGTCGAAATGTCCTGGGAAATTAGGTGTCCTGGAAGGTGGGTCAGGATTCCCCTGCAGGGTTAGAGTAACTTGAGGCATTAGGGTGTGTCAGATTCCAGTGTTTGCATGTTACTGGGTCCCTGGAGGTCATGGCAGTCGTGGAGCTCAGGTTGCTCTAGGAGGTCACAGGATATTTTGGGGTGTGGGGAGGGGGAGGGCCTTGGATCAGTGCTTCTCAGCTTTAGTGTCATTAAGGATTGAAATGTTTGGGCTGTTCCACAGTCCGTGAGTTGAAGCCCTAGTCCTGCTGTGCTGGTGTTTGGGGGTGGGGTCCTTTGGGAGGGGAGTCCGGCTAGATGGCATCAGGAGGGTGGGGCCAAGTGATAGGATTAGTGTCCCTGTGAGAAGAGGAGGAGACAGCAGAGCAGGTTCCCGGGTGCCCTGTGTGGACAGAAGACCCTGTCAGCAACCCAGGAAGAGGTCTCTGCAGGAACTGACTGGGCTAACCCTCAGCCTTGGACTTCCTAGCCACCAGATCTGTGAGAAATAAATGTCTATTGTTTAAGCCACCCAACGTTCCATTTTGTTTGTTTGTTTTGGGTTTCTTTTCTTTTTTTTAGCAGCCTGAGTTCAAGAAGACAACTGTACCTTCAGTTCTCTTGGGAATCCCGTGGCAATGCAGATCCTGACTCAGGAGGATGGTGGTGGGGCAGAGGTTCTGCATCCTGACAAGCTGTTACATGTTTCCGATGCTTTTGGTCCATGGACCGTCTTGTAAGCCTAAGATCCTAGAGGATTATGATGGTTTTCTGTCTTAACTTGTCAGGGTGCTTTTAAAGGATGTATGTGAAGGTTAGTATGACCTTGGGGATCAGACTGTTGTGTGAGTGCAGTGTGTTCCAAGGGGGTTAGGGTGTCCTCATTGGGTGTGTCCCAAGAGCTCAGAACTTCATGGTAAGGGCAGGGGGACCTCCCGGTACAGGTGGAATATTCTAGGGGTCAGTGTGTCCTAGAGGATCCCAGAGTCATGGGATCTCAGGATGTGCCAGGGATGTCAGAATGTACTTCCTGGGTGAAGGGAACCTCAGTGAGCAGAGGACTGTGGGTGTCACCGTGTCCTGACTGCTATCTCTTGCACAGTCCCAGGTCCCCGGGGACTCAGCATATACCCAGGATTCAGGTGCTTCTGAGGGTCAGGGTGTTCTGCAAACCTGGGCACCCTTGGAAGGCCATGGAGCCCTGGGGCCCTGGGTGCATGCAGAGGTGGCACTTGGAGGAGGAAAGTTAGGTGTGCTGGAGACTCACCCCGGTGTGCTGCAGGTTCCGGTCGTCCTGAGGGGGTGTCTGGTGTATGCTGAGAATCAGGGTATCCAGAAGGGGCCAGAATGCACTTGTGTCTTTTAGTTTTTTAGTTTTCTGGAAACAGACCCTTGGGTACCACCCACAGGCTGAGATGCCAGGCAGGCCCTCCTCCGGCCCCCATTGGCCCCCCTCCCTTGGGGGGGTTCTGAGCAGGGGTCTGAGGAGGAATGCATTTTCTCCTCCTTCCCCTGCCTGCCCCCAGTGAGGGATTTAAGTGGACAAAAGAACTTGGTGCTCTGGGAATACGAGCTCTTGGCCCCTGTCCCTGGACCCTCCAACAGAGCACCTTCCCTTATCCAGAGTGTGATCCTCCCCGATGAAGGGGCTCTGGTGGTCAGGCAGTGATTGGATGGGCCCAACGGGCAGGTGAGGAGGCAGCCACTCCTTCAAGACTGGGGAGGAAGAGGGGGTGTGGGGTTGCAGGCTGGGCACCGGGGCAGCCCAGAGCAGAGGGAGGGACTGCATCAGGAGAGAAGGGGCAGGGAGAGGGAAGTAGAGACAAACCAGAGAAACAGGGTGCGGGCAAGACGGAGAGAGAGGTGATGCTTAGGAGTGGGGCTGGGGAGTTTGAAAACAATTAGCAAAGGGAGAGACAGTGAAAAAGGCAAAGATCTCTATATCTACACAGAGACTCGAGAGAGGTGTCAACAGCGGCAGAAGCAGAGAGGGCGCCGACCTGGAGGGTGGTAGGACTAGAGAAAGACTGACCCCGAGGTGGAGACTCAGGGACGCAGAGACTGGACTGCCCTGGGTGCTCGTTCCTGGGCATGGAAGCAGGCGGGACAGGCGAGCAGGGTAAGCCAGAGACGGGGTCAGTCTGCAGCAGCCTCCAGCCTGAGAGCTGCCCAGCCGCTGGGACTCGGATCTCCATGGCCGGTGAGTGAAATTGAGGTCCTGAGGAGGCAGCAGGCATGGGAGCTCCATGGCTGGGCTCCTGTGGGGCAATGGTTTGCTACAAGGAAGGCAAAGAGAAGAAATAAAAACAGAGCCTGGGAATGTTAAGACCATAGGACCCTTAGTGAGCCCGGGGCACCTCTGTCAGTTCACCAACGGGAGCACTGAGGCCTGAGCTCTGGCCGGCTGCTGACCACATGCCTCGCTGTGCTGTGGGACAGGGGAGGAGTGGGAACCTGCCCCCTCACTCCTGGCCTCGCAGTTTTCCCCCTACGCTGCCTTCTCTGAAGGAGGGAGCCGGAGGGGCCAGGGATTTGGAGCTGAGGTGAGCAGGGGACCAGTGGCTCGACACATCTGTGTATGCAAGGCAGACAGTGAATGCTGGGGAGCCGTGCCCCTGGGTCCTCACCCCTGCATCCCCATGGGGATGGGGGCCTCAGCTCCAGACACCTCCTTTTCTCAGTGCGTGCCTTCCAGGTGTTTCCTTTTACTCCCTGTTCTCTCTGCCCCCACTGGCTCTCAGACTAATTAGTGTGCGGGCTTAGTGAGCCTGTGGGAAGGACAGGCAAGCCTTTCCCACGAGCTCAGGTTCCTGCAGCCTAGTGGCCCAGCCAGGGCCGGAAGAGGGGAGAAGATGAGATGTACGGGGTGGGGGGTGCCTGAATGGAAGAGGGGGAAGCATTTCATCTTCCCAGGTGAGGAGTGCAGGAGGATGGGAGTGGTCTGCAAGAGGTTTAAGGTGTGTGGGAGCTGTGAGAGCAGGGACAAGCCACGGGGTCTCCAGCAGGAACCTGGACAGTTTGTTAGGGGGTCAGAGCAAGTGGGAGGCCCTCAGGATGAGGCTCCGGGAGGTGAGAAGCACATGGTGGAGAGCACATTACGTGGGCACATGTTGTGTTGGGGCCACGGGATGGGGGTGGTGAGCCCTGGGGGGGTGGGGAGGCTGGAGCAGGAGTGAGTCTGAACAGCAGGTCCGGGTCCTACGTGAAGAGCGCAGCCTGCCTCAGGAGGCTCGGAGCTGGCGCGGGCCCAGGTGGAGCCCACGGGCCCAGGCTGAGCCTCATTCAGCTGGCTGTGGAATGGGTGTCTGCATGGGGCAAAGCGAGTAGGAGCCACATGGGAGCGCTGAGCAGAGGGCACCCCTGGGTTCCAGGAGTGGATGGGGGTCCGCTGGGCTGCAACCTCTCCCTTCCTGCCTGCCCGCAGCCATGAGCGCTCAGCCCTACGGGAGCTTCTCTGGTGCAGGAGTGGGGAGACCAAGGCTTTCTTTGCAAGGACAGAGAGGCCACCCGCACTCCAGGCGCCGCCACCGCACCACCTTCAGTCCAACGCAGCTGGAGCAGCTGGAGTCGGCCTTCGGGAGGAACCAGTACCCTGACATCTGGGCCCGAGAGGGCCTGGCCCGGGACACAGGCCTCAGCGAGGCCCGCATCCAGGTGATGCCCCGGGAGGCGCCCCCACACCTTCCTCTGGGCAGAGTACAGTCTGGATTGTAAGGAGCCACCAGCACACGCTCGCTCTCACAGGCATCATAACCCCAGGCTAACAGTCACCACTTGTAGCCTAAGGTGACAGGCCACACAACCTCATCCACACCAGGAGTGTCACTGGAGTTACCCGTTGTGCTGACCTATTCCAACTTGAATGTCAACACCTACCCCCAACCTTCACAGAAATTCACTCTTACCCTTTCACCTACATATGTAAATATATAACCTTGGCCCTCACCATGGCCTCAGACCTCAATCAGCCTGATGCTTCCTCAGCTCTCGCCATGGAGTCAATCAATTTCAAATACAAACCCTACCCTAAATCCAACCCTGTCTATAACAATTAAACCTAATCTCTAATAACCCTAGGGGACATTTCCTAACCTCTGGGGAGGGAAAAATGCCATTGTGTCATATTTATCTCTTTTTTTTTGAAATTGACATCTCTTACTCATCCAAAGTTATAGTTGGGCAAACTTAGACACAAGTTGGAGATAATAGTATTCATCTCACTTTGTCAATAGGTCTGGCCCAGACCTGCCTCTGAAGAGCTTTGCCTTTTGCAATGATGGGGGAGGGACCTATGCCCTGCACCTGCACCTTCTGTCATCAGGGGAGGGGACCGCATGTGACAGTGCCAACTCCTTGAGAGAGGGGCTCTGATGTGGCTATTCTTCCCCTTCCCCAGGTCTGGTTCCAGAACCGCAGAGCTAAGAAGAGGAGGCAAGAGCGATCACTGCTCCAGCCACTAGCTCATCTGTCTCCAGCCATTCCCTCTGGTTTCTTGCCTGAGGCCCCTGCCTGCTCCTACTCCTACCCAGCACCATCTCCACCAGGGACCTGCTTTCCTCACCCCTACAACCAAGCCCTTCCCTCTCAGCCCTCTCCAGGTGGTTCCTTTGCTCGACCCCACCGATCTGAAGACTGGTACCCGACCTTGCACCCAAACCCTGCTGCTCACCTGCCCTGCCCCCCACCCCCACCCCCACCCATGCTTCCCCTCAGCCTTGAGCTACCCAAATCCTGGAACTGAGCTCAAACAAGTGACATGGCCTTCAGAAAACCTGGAGAAAACTAGGTGGTTTCCATCCCTGCTAAGAGTAAAGTAGAAATATGGTGAGGGGCCACTCAGAGATTGGGAATTTACAAATGGGTGATTTTTGAGAGAAATTAGGGAGGTGAACCTACTGGAAGATGTACATAAGCCTCAATGCGATGAGTGCAGGAAGCGTAATTTTGATGGAAGCAAGTGCTACTCCTGGTGAATGGAAGTGCTGGAGGCAGATGGAACCAGCAGGGCTTCGTTCTTTGAGCTCACAGCTGCAGAGCTTCATCCCAGCTGTTGCAAGCTGATTTCAAGAAGGCTTCTGATGAAAAGTCTACCCATACATTTCCTCCCATGCCCCACCCCACCACCCAAAGCAGTCCTTAACTTTTGCTCGTTCTGTCCTAGAAATATCTCTTGAATTTATTCTTCTCCATTCCAGCAGACACTGCTTTTGCTGGTCCAATACTTTCTAACTCTCCTCACTGGCTTCCTCAGCTTCAGTCTTTCCCACTTCCAACAGAACTTGCAGGTCCAGTCATCACTGAGTGGCGCTCCAATGTCTTATAAAAAATAAACAAGATCTGATTAGCCTGGCCTGTAAGAGTCTAAACGTACCAGTTTTTGTGTCTCCAAAAGTACCTGAGTGCTGGTTTTAGCACATCTTCGTTGACAGAAACAAAAAACCCAGAAATTCCAATTCTGCTAAGACACAGTCTGAAAATGAATTATATAAGCAATTTTTAACAGCAGGGACTTTGTAGTTGTTTAGTAAAAGCATACAACTATGTTATATATATTTCTAGTTATTTAGTAAAAACATATCACTATTATATATATTTCTAGCTATAAGTATATATATATATTTCTAGTTATTTAGTAAAAACATATGACTATATTTTATGACATATGATTCTAACAGCCAGGCTTGAAAAACAATTATTTCTCCTGTAAATTATTTAAAGTACACATCTCATTCTCACTGGAAAAATCAGTTCATTTTCTAGAGACTATTTTAATGAAACTTGCAACATGGAGATTATCTGGTTCAAAATGCCAAGATTCTTATGCCTACCTGAACCACCTAAATGCTCAAGGAGAATCAACCATGCAAGGTGTTACAACACACAGTAAAATGTACATGCTGGGAGAGCCTTGTGGGCAACAATAGGACACGAAGGGGACTGAAGATGGCCCAAGTGTCATGAGCATCTTGGGCTACCCACCAGCTTCTGGCCCACGCTGGGGCCGTCTGACCCGCCTTAGGAACCAAAGGCCTTAGGAACTTGGCTGAACGCCGAGCAGCCTATATGACTGTCGGTCCTGCAGGTGACACTGGCACTGAGAAATAACAGGGAGACAACACAGGGGCTGTGCTGCTCACTCGGATTTTATTCATGCAGGTTCACCCAGATTTAGTCCAAAATCATAGTAACCTAATAACAATACTAATCACTTAGTAACAACCAGTGGTAACATCATCACACAAGAGAACTGGGGGATCACAAACCTGAGTCCCAGAGTCTCAGTCTGCAGGTCTGGGGGACAGCACAGGGTAGGAAGGGGGCAAAAGAGGCATCAGCATCTTGCAAGAAAAGCGCTCTGGAGCCAGGTGGGCAGCAGGCAGACAAATCCTCAGTCCAGCAGGCAGAGCCTCCAACAGCCGATGCTGAGGGAGGTCAGCATGGGTTGGAGCAGCACTGGGATGTGTGGGCTCAGCTCCCTTGCTGGTGGCCTGGAGCCAGCCTCAGTTACACCTTGAGAGAGGTGGACTCCACCCTCTGGGTCTCTTGATTGGTGTCTTGTCACCCCTAATGGCAAGTGGGCATTTCACCAGGAGCCTGTCTCTGGGTGGTCCCACCCTGCAGACACAGCTGTTCTGGTCACGTGTGCAGATATCGTAGGTGTGTCTCCTTGCCAGATGTGTCTAGTGTGACTCAGGTAGTTGCCTTCTTGAACCAAAGTGTCATGGCTGACTGGTCGCCATCTGGGTTGACATGAGTGACTTCACTTTGTTTTATGTGCTCCATGCTATCTTGACCAGACCACCACCATTTTATTATTCCTGCTCACCACAAAAGGTCATCAAAAAACAGAAACAAAAACCCTTCAAACACCCCTAGGCCTGCCAGACCGCGTTTCTGAGCCACATGCAGCCTCCCAGGCTGCGGGTCTGCAGCGCAGACAACTAGGAAAACAGTAGCCACGACGGAGTTCGACCACAGATGTGAACGTGGCCACCAGCAGAGTCCAATAGATTTTAACCCTCAAAGAGTGAAGAGAATACTTCTCACAAACATTTAATCATTCTACTGACACAATTTGAGATATAAGTGTGTTTAACAGCAGCCTGTTAAGTCTGATTATGAACACCTGCCACACCCTTGCACACTAGCTGTTTGCGCCTGCAGGCGCAGGAGGGAGACTCTCAGTTCCGACCGTGTGGAGGTCTCAGGCCCACAGACACCCAGCCGGCCTGTGTGAGGCTCACCGGCAGCCAAAGGCCTCTCTACTGGGGGGATGTCCGGCTGCTCCGGGGCCTCACGTGTGATCTGGGTGCATGCACACCCATGAGCTCTGGAAACACTAGAGTGGCCTGTTGTGAGCACATCAATCTACCAAGAACCCTGTCCACGTGTGTCTGAGATTTGTTTATTTTATCATTAAAGGCAGAGAATACAGGAAAAGTCACTGGAGTTGACGGAGAAGGAAACAGAACATGAGGCCGACAGGAAAGACCAACATCCCCAGACCTCCGGACCTCCAGGGAGAGCTGAAGCTGCACACCCTTTGCTGAGACACCGGAGGGACTTGGCCAGGATCTGTAGGCTGCCACGAGGGACGCGTCCCTGCGAGCTGACTGCAGAACTGGGCACTGAGGACCCCCAGCCCTGCTGACAAGTCTGGAGGGACTCAGAAGAGGGGCTACTTTTTGGCAACTAATCTAGAAATCCATACACTAAGGATGTGTTAATGGAGATAGAGTGTGATCTGTTTGATATTCCTTCATTGTGTATATTAAATAATCTCTTGTTAAACAGTATTTCCCAGCCCTGGCTGGCGTAGCTCAGTGGATTGAGCATGGGCTGCAAACCAAAGCATCACAGGTTCGATTCCCAGTCAGGGCACACGCCTGGGTTGCAGGCCACGGCCCCCAGCAACCACACATTGATGTTTCTCTCTCTCTCTTTCTCCCTCCCTTCCCTCTCCAAAAATAAATAAATAAAATCTTTAAGAAAAGAAAAAAAAACAGTATTTCCCACACTGTCTTCTTAAGGTCAGTTAATATAATGTTCAAAGCCGAAAGCAAATATTTATAATGCATGTTTCAAACAGCCTTTCATGCTTTATAATAATGGATTCTGATTAATCAGGCTTTGGGCCAAGATGGAGGCATAGGCAGAAACGCTTTGTTTTCTTGCACAACCAAAAGAAGGGTAACAACCAGTTTAAAACAAAGAACAAGCAGAACTGCCGGAAAATCATTTGCATGGAAGTCTGACAATGAAGGGGTTAAATAAACATTCATCCAGACTGGTGGGAGGGGTCGAGATGGGCAGCTGGGGTGGAGAGGACCCACAGCAAGGCCAGGGGGCAGACCTCAGGGCAGTCCCACATTGGTGCACAGATAAGCTGGAAGGAACAGCAGGAGAGTGAAACAGACTGCAGGACACCCAGGGTTTCAGTGTAGGAAACTAAAAACTCAAAACTCCTGGCTGTAAAAATCTGTGGGGGTTGCAGCAGTGGGAGAAACTCCCAACCTCACAGGAGAGTTCCTTGGACAGACCCATAGGGTCTTAGAATGTACACAAACCCACCCACCTGGGAATCAGCACCTGAAAGGGCACAATCCACTTGTGGGAAGTGAGGGGAGTGATGGAAAGAGGGACGAGAGCAGAGCAAGCCGCATTGTTCCCTCTCGGACCCTCCCCAACAGACAGCGCCACAACACAGCAAAGAGGGTTGGCCTGCCCTGGTAAATACCTAAGGTTCCACTCCTTACAACATAGCCGGTGCACTGATACAAAGAAATATGTCCCAAAAGAAAGAAAAGATCAAAGGTCCAGAAAAATACCTAAGTGACAAGGAGATAGCCTGTCTGATGCAGAGTTCAAAACACTGGTAATAAGGATACTCACAGAATTGATTGAGCTCAGTCACAAAATGGAGGAAGAAATGAAGTCTACAGAAAGTGAAATAAAGGACAATATACAGGGAACCAACAGTGAAGGGAAGCAAACCTGGACTCAAATCAATGATTCAGAGCAAAAGGAAGAAACAACAAAATGAAGAAACAAGAATGCAAAACAATGAGGAGAGGCTTCGGAACCTCCAGGACATCTTTAAACGTTTCAATATCTGAATTATGGGGGTGCTGGAAGGAGAGGAGAAAGAGCAAGAAATTGAAAACTTATTTGAGCAAATAATGAAGGAGAACTCCCCCAATCTGGCAAAGGAAATAAACTTCCAGGAAGTCCAGGAAGCTCAGAGAGTCCCAAAGAAGTTGGACCCAAGGAAGCACACACCAAGCCACATCATAATTACATTAGCCAAGATTAAAGATAAGGAGAGAATCTTAAAAGCAGCAAGAGGAAAAGAAAGAATTACCTACAAAGAAGTTCCTATAAGGCTATCAGCTCATTTCTCTAAAGAAACCTTACAGACAAGAAGGGGCTGGAAAGAAGTATTCCAGGTCATGAAAGGCAAGGATCTACATCCAAGATTGCTCTATCCAGCAAAGCTATCATTTAGAATGGAAGGGCAGGTAAAGTGCTTCCCAGATAAGGTCAAGTTAAAGGAGTTCATCATCACCAAGCCCTTATTATATGAAATGTTAAAGGAAGTTATCTAAGAAATAGATTAAAAACTATGAATAGTAAAATGACAACAAACTGACAACTGTCAACAACTGAGCCTAAAAAACAAAACCAAAAACAAAACCAAAAACTAAGCAAACAACTAGAACAGGAACAGAATCACAGAAATGG